TTGTGCTTGTGCTTGTGCGTGTGCTTATGTTTATGCTTATGTTTGTCTGTGTCTGTGTTTGTGTTTGCGTTGGTGTTTGTGTTTGTGTTGGCCTGCACCAACGGACCGCCATAAAGCCTGCTTTCCTTGGGCGCGTTACCCATTCAGTTCTGGGCCCCCGTTGTTTATCGCCATCCCCGAACCTACACGTACTCAAGTTCTTGAAGATGATCCCCAGGATGCAGGTGCTGGAGCAGCTCAGCAGACTGCACCAGTGGGAAGCCCTCAACTCCCAAGCCCCGAGCACATGGCTTTGAAAGCTCACTGGCCTCTGCTGATGCTGTGGCGAGGTTCCATTTCGCCGCCTCTTGCACCGTGTACGTGTACATGCGCTTGGGCTTCGACTTTCTAGACGAACTCCCGAAGGGACAGCACCAGTTGGCGGGATTCAACTGGACTGGAGCACAGGTCTCGACACTTCCTGTGAACAGCGCAATCAGTCTGCCTAGCGGACCTACAGAAGGTCTTCATGCTCAAACGAAGCCCTGAATCCAAACACTGGGTCCCACTGATTCCATGTCGAACTTAAACTTCGCTCAAAAAGCCTACGTAAATTCTCACCTGGCGAAATACATCCCTTCAACAGGTCACAAACCCGTGGTCGCCACAGCATGCAAGTCGGACCAAATACAACCTGAGACGACAAACACCAAAACCTGGAACGAATCTCAATTAAACACATTGGGAACAAAGCCAAGCACACTGATTCGTGAATCCCACTTACAGGAGGCTTTCATGCAGTTCCAGGCCTAAAGACTCTAGACCGCGCTACCCCTGGCAAGAGATCAGCCAGTGCTAGCGCGTCAGTGCAAGCAGGACCCGACCCGAGCTGAACTCCAACCCGGCGCCTCGAGCTGCTTGCACAGCGAGGCCTTCTCCCGGCGGAGGACAGCCAGGCGCTCGGCGGCTCGCTGCCGCGCGGCGCCCTCCTGCACTCTCAAACTTTCACTGGGTCTCGACACCCGGGTTCTTGCGACACTCCCATATCAACTAGCTCCAAAGAACTCGCACAGGCAGGGCGACCTGGGTTGGCAGGGCTTCTGGGCTGAGTCTTTGCTGGTGCTGATGTTGATGATGATGAAGATGATAATGATGACAATGACGATGATGATGGTGATGATGATGAAATACGAACTCGGAACAAGCATCAATGTTATTGCTGATCATGATGAGAAGAATGCTCATAACAGCAATCAGAATAAGTTCCCATGGCAACAATGCTCATCAAAGTCCTGTATTCATAGCATGAAACCAGCGCATCTAAAGCCCCGTAGACGGGCGCTCCTCTGCCAGCTGCTTCCCGGCGAGCTCTGTTTGCCTCCACTCTTCGGCGACTTCGCCCTGACAACGTATTGCCAAGTCAGGGAGAAAGTTGTTGCTATTTCAGGCTTGGACAAGGTTGAGGCTTGGGCTGCAGATCGCTCGATTGGATTTTTACCCTGGCAAATACCGAATACCAGCAGCTGTAATGAGGAGCGAGCAGGGAAGTACTAACCCAGCAGGCAAGAAGCTTGGGTCATGTGCTGGTGTTACATGCTTTCGTTCTCCTCATTCGCTAGGATCATAACCGCAGCCGCTTCATGGGAGCTGACGTAAAGTGATGCTGACTCAGATGTACGAGGGCTGATGCTGAGGCTGAAGCTGACGGTGATATTGCTGACGGCGACGACGATATGACGGTGATACAATGACTAGAAACACCACAAAGATCAAAAAGACGGTCTCCGCGGTCATCATCACCATCACCATCACTACCACCACGACTACAATCTCCAGCACCACAATCCTCTTCTCATCGTCGTAGTCACAAAAAGCAAGTCCGAACATGACCAATCCCATCACTAAGATCATGTCGTCATCGTCTTCATCAACAGCAGCAACAGCAGCACCACAATCACCATCAAGAAACAAGAGAACGAAAATATCCCGGTGTCAGGCACCTTCACAGCATCCACGGCCTCACGGTGACGCTGCAGTGCCTCTTTGGCATTACCTGAAAAGCCGGAAGTCAGTTCGGGGCCGTTCAGCCTTGGCGGCTTGGGCCTGGGGTTCTCAGGGCGGCTCGTGGAGGCGTTCGTGTCAAAAATCCCTGCTCGATCCTCGAGTCTCGAAGAGGCTCTCCAATAACCTAGGTCGATGTCACAATCGAGGCGAATCTGGAACCCACAACCAACAATGCGGGCGGGGAGCTTGCTGTGGTTGTCCGAGCTTGGAGCTGCACCTTCTGCTCCCCATGTCAAATTAACGGAATTTCCAGCAATCTCGTCTACTGCTGCCGTGATAAATACTGCTGCTGCTGCTGTTGCTCCTCCTCCTCCTACTACGACGACGACTATAATCATCACCAGCTTGCTCGTGTGACCCCTTCGGACGGATGTTTTCAAATTCGGTGGTCGACTTATCACTCCCGGAGGTTTCACAACATAGCTCCGTTAACCGATGCCAAGCCAAACCGAACCAAGCCAAACCACGCCAATTGCGAATCAGAACGCCTCTATCCAACGAACACCATCTCCAGCAGTACAACCCTACCTGGCTCGCTGGTACAATTTGAGGGACGTGGCTGTGAGTTGCACCATGGGGACGAGCATCTGCACTTTTTATCATCATCGTCATCCTGACTAGGGACCCTACAATAGCACTGTCTTTCCGATCCGGGGGCCGTCTCTTAGGTCGTGAGAAGCGCTGTGCCAGAGACCATTTAGAAACTATAAAATAACGCAGTGCCGCTGAAAGTCTTTGACAGACTCGTGCACCAAGAAGCCAGACCTCCAGCTCCGAACGCTTGGTCTGGAGGCTGGTGAGGCGGCTGGCCTTGGCAGGGGAGAGATGATCTCGAAGAAACAAGGCTCGAGGGCCTTAGCAAAAAGCAACCTCGCCCTGAGGGTTCGTCACGGGAGCAGCGAAATTTCCGATCTTACTCTCGTGAAGCTCTGCGGATTTCTGCGTGGCGCGTTCAGCTGAAATACTGGGGCACCAGCGATCCACTCCCTCGCCCTCGTGTCCATCTCCAGCGACATTGTGGTCAGTCGTTGCACTGCTAACGGGTGCCAAGCTGAGAAATTGCATGGTTGAAGCGATGGTCTTGAAACTCGTGCAGGAAAGGGCTAACCGTGTAACACACTTTGCCCGACTTTCGCAAAGCAGCTTTCCTGGCTTAAACGGCTTTACACGGAAATACGCGAAGTGAGACCTGCGCACATCATTCTCGGCTCATGGCTGTTGCCAAGCAAGCACGGTCACTGTAAGTCGGGGTCATTGCACACACAAAGGAATTCTGCGAAACAGCAGGAGGAAATTGCCCAGCAGCGGAACAATCGCCATAGAGTCTTTGACATGCCTGGCCACTTGGCTTACAGAAACACTGCATCTGAAAGAAATTCTCGGCAGTGCCGCAAAATACAGCACACCATCCCACATCCTTCGAGGCGTCATCATAAAAAGCATCATCATCGTCGTCGTCAACAACATCAACAACATCAACAACAACAACAACAACAACCACAACATTTTTTGCAGTTGAACGTTGCGTGAGCGGACTCCACGCTTGGCGGGCAATTACCGCGATGAGCACTCACTAAGTGTGAAACCGACCTGCTGATCAAGGTTTGAAGCATGGCTGAGTATGGTGGTTCATTTTAACCGATCCACACTGTGCTGCCTCGTACTACTTACAGCCGGCAAGCACATGAGGCTCCCCTCCGTCTCCACCGAGCAGGTTTGCCCACTGCGGCTGCCCCGTATCCAGTTGGACCGACGAACACTATTTGGGAGGTCTCCACACAGCATGTGCAGGGCTGGGCTTCAGCTGGCTCACGGTCGTGTAGTACCTTTACATGCCTACCGGTTGGTTGGAGGGCTGACGTTGCATCTGTGGCATGTTGATGCGACTCCGCATTTCGTCAGAGCATCTGCCCGCTGCGTTAGAGCATAACGCTGCCTTTTTGCTTTAGTCCGCAATGGCTGCGCAGGTCGAAGAAAAGTACAGCACTCAACCTACAGAGATACAACTTGTTGTCGTTGTGGCCCGTGGCCCCTTATTCGTATTTGCTCAGTTGTTTCAGCTCCAAGCACCAGAAGAAGAGGCTCCCCATTGTTCGGAGCTCTCCCACCAGGTCTGGTCGGACCAGTGCTGGCGGCTCCACCTAAATTATTTTTTCTGGCGCTTTTTTGTGAAAGGCTCCGACACCTCAGACTGTCGCTTGTCCGGGCGAAGATATTGCATCTTCGCCTGGGTGTCTCCTAGTCTGTGACCAGTGCGGACTTTTCGAACGTGCTTGCCAGCACGATCTGGCATGTATATGATCATGCGGTTGACGAGTCCACAGGAGCGTCAAAAATGATCATAGATGGATATCCTGGATTTCATAATGGAGGCCAGCATCTCAGAGTTGTCATCAATCTCCAGAAGGTCATACCTCTCCTTCTGCTCCCAGCTCCCAGAGGCTCTTGGATAGAGCGCCGGCAAAAAACGGTAATAAGCGGCAGCTCACGATAAGATTCACCATTGCCCGCTATGGTGAGCAGGCCGTCAGTACCAATAATAGGTCACGCTGTCATGGCCAAAGCCCAAATCGCCTTGGACTCCGCGGTAGCTTGGTGGATCGGGGCCAAGACCCAAGGCGGCGGCTTCTCCAGGATCTTGATGTGTTTCCGCGGAGATGCTTCGAGGCCATGAGCCCGCCATGACCTTTTCGTTGATGATCAGGATGGTGGCTACGGTGGCTAAAGCAGCTGTGTCAGCTGTGGCCACCTCCGCCTGACCTTTTTTCTGGGGTTCTGTCCGAAGTTGGCTTGGCTTCCGGTGGGGATGTTCTGGTGGTGGGGATGTTCTGGTGCCGGCTTCCGCAAAGGCATTGAAAGGCTTGGCCCCTGCGGTTTGAGTTGCTGGGGTGGCAGTGGTTGCGGCTGGCGGGATGTGAGGGTGTGGCTCTGGCCAGTAGTTGGGTGGTGGAACTTTGGCCGTTGGCTTGGCCGTGGGGGAGGGCGCAATGGGTTGACGGGCGCCTTGCTTAGGCTCGTCTTTTGGTGCCGGTGAAGGAGAGGCAGCGCGAGGTTCAGACGCGGGTGCTCCCTTTGTTGGGAGGGGTGGCATGCCGAGGCCAAAATGCGCCTGAGAAACAGCTTAGAAACACCAGCTGGCGTTGTCGGCTGAGGGAGCAGACAACAACAACAACAACAGCAACAGCAACAGCAACAGCAACAGCAACAGCAACAACAGCAACAACAGCAGCAGCAGCAGCGTCGATCAGTGTCATCATCGGCATCATAACGAGTGCGACACACACTACCCAGTTTCTCCTTCGCGGGACCAGAGCCCTCCTCGCTAAGGGAACGCTGCGAGGACATGCAGCATGGAAACGGAAAACCGCAGACTCGGTGCTTGGCACAGCCAGCCTGACAGCTCCATGCGCGTGGAATGGGACGGGGAGGGGGCGGAGGGCGTCCTGTTCAGGCAGGCCCGTGGGATCAGGAGATGTCTAGCCCTCTACAGAGCCCCAGAAGAGAAGCCATTTGTATCACCACAGAAGCCCCTCGAAGAGCCGAGCAGCAGGTGATACTACAGCCTTCGTGGACTGCGTCATCTGTGCAACAGCAAAAAAACGCGATGCCTGATAACGAGAGCTTCCCGTGTGCAATAAACCCTTAGGGTCGGCACAGAGAGCCCGAATAAAGCAAATCTTCGTAGTTCATTAAGCATTCAGCCTCCGGCGGCGCAACCAACAAGACTCCGACTTAAGCGTCTTCACTTTCATCAATTACTACTACGGTGATTACGATGCCTTTCATTATTGCCACCATGCCCCTCTTGACAGCATTACTGTTAGCGCGACGCTTGCTGTTGCTTCTGCGAGCCTGACTGTGATTACTATTCTTCCCGCTAGATGTATTGCTGCTAGATCGCCTCCATTACAGGCGATACTGCCTTGACCACCATACTGCTTTCATGCACCGTTGCAAGCATGGCACTTTCACGCCTACTGTTGCAAGCATGGCACCTTCACACATACTGAGGACCAGGTCTATCTATTGGTTTCCTGGAGTTCCCGGCATTCCGATTTGTGTTGGCACTACGACTGATCCCAGTTTGTTAGCGATATCTGTTTATGAAAGTGTCTTGAATGCTCCGGTATATCGGTATATCTGCCGAAGTCCAGTCAGGTACTACAATCATGGCCAATGTCAGTCTCAGCAATCAAACCAAACATCTATCTAGCTAGCTAGCTATCTAGCTGTCTGTATACAGATGCATACGCATACACACACACATACGCATACACACACACACATACGTACATACATACATACATACATACATACATACCTACATACATACTTTACACAGTCATGTAAATGTGAACTACGAATCTTGCTCCTGCTATTTGGTTTCGTAGATGCTAGCATCCCTACGAATCGCACCTGGTTTTCGATAAACAGCAGGGGTATTGCATTATGACATTGGCAACCGTGATTGCCGGGTATGGAGAGCTGCCCCTATGGTACTACCAGTACTACTAATACTACTAGTACTACCGCTAATACTACTTACTAGTTCTACTAGTACTACTAGTACTACTTGTACTACTAGTGCTGCTACTACTACTACTACTACCACCACCACTACCACGACCACTACCACTACCACTGCCACTGCCACTGCCACTACCACTACCACTTTCACTACCAC